CTGACGATTCCAAGCTTAAGCAAAAATAATGTCCAAGTTGCTAGGGGGAAAAATGTATTAAAAAGTGAAACTAATTTGTATTTTAAATAGAACTTACTGTTCTGCAGGGTAATAAAATCTGCTAATGTTTAATAGTCAGCAACTAGTGACAAGAAAAGCTTGGCTTGAATGGGGCAGGGAAAGGACGTGGAGAGATAACATTCGGATAAGTTGACCTAAGCCTGTAGATACAGCAAGCACCTCGTTTTCAGAAACGCCGAGCAGCTGGGCACTCCAAATCTGACTGGCATCAGCAGGCAATGCAAACAGCCCTGGTCAAGCCACACTCACATACTTAATTCTCCCTGGACGCCATTATTGGGGATGCAAGTTCTTTGTTTTTGTTGTAATATCCCACGGTTATATTCCAAATTTGTTAATTCATGGCTGTAAACCACACGACCATTAATTTGGCGACAGTAAAACCAGCAAGGGCTGGCTGAAGTCAGCCAGGGCAGAATGAAGTGGTGGATGGTACTTAGGAACGGAGTATTTCAGCTGTAGCTGACTGGTGCCAATCTGACAGCCTCATTTCTTTAGGCAAGCTATTTTTCACTACAATACTGGCAAAATTCAAATGTGTCAGTTTTACTCCCCCCTGGAACGCTTATCAGATCAGCCACCTTAAAAAAAAAAAAAACAACACAGGAGAAAAAAAAAAATTCAGGAAGAGCATATTTCAAGGTGAAAAAAAAAAAATATATTCAGCAATGCATCCCTGCTACAGCTGATCTTAAAGTGACCTGCCTGTAGGAAGAGAGAGGACAACCCCAGCCACACCGAAAAGTAATTGCGTCTCTACGATATCACAGGCAGGCTCCCCAGCTTCCTAGTTTACGCTAGTGGGCAAACAGTTTTCCCAATAACTTGACTCATTGCTTCAGGATTTCCCTAGAGGATGAGTCACATACAGGGAAAGCCACCAGTCATTCTACGGGAGCTAAACGGACCACCGCTGCCAATACGAGAAGAGTGAAAGAAGTGGGAGAACAGAAGATCAGTGCCAAACTCGGGAAAACTGTGCGGTCAACACCACTCCTTGGCAGTCCTTCCCGGCTCCCCTCCCCAAAAAGCATGCCGGCGAGCAGAAGCACACCCGTTCAAGCAGCAGAGAGGCAGCACCAGGCTCCCGAGCGAAGGGAATCGCTGTGGAGCGGTTTCTTCCACGTGCAACTGCCGGGACAGACGGAGGAAACGCTGGCTCTGCTCGCATCCGAGGACCGCTCGGTACGGGAAGGGAAGGTGTCTCTGGAAGGGAAAAGATGCTACGGAATTAAAAACGGTGCCTCTGCTCCTCCCCCCCCCCCAGCACTGAAGGGGATATAATCAGGAGCAACAGGGGCACATGCAAAATTTCACGGCCTCTGACTTCTCACTCCACATTGCAACCCCCGGGTTCACAGATTGCCCTTCTTTTCCCATTTCACACCCCCCCTACGACTCATCCCATGCTTCTTCCTTTTCTCTCAACCCGTTACTAAGTGGTTAGGCAGGGGTTACATGCCCAGTTACAAGTCCAAAATGCTGAGAACCGCTGCTACGTGGCAAGCTCTTTGGTAGACTCAACCTGAACGCACCTTTTCTTCATACAATTTGTAATCATTAAACGTGGAGGCTAACTACATGAAACCACCAGGCTCATCTACGTTGGACGTCGGCTTCGAACAGCCTAAAGCTTACGTGGATACAAGCTATTCTCATTTCACTGGTGCTGCCTGTTTATTTCGGCGATTTCGCTCGATCACGTCCCCGATGGTGGGACCCTGGGCTGACAGCTCCGTTTCTAATCAAACATCTGGTCCCCACGTTGTTTCTCTGGTCTCCAACTTTTACATTTGCACTGAAACGCATCTGCTGATCTCGTCGGACAGCTTGTGCCTCCGCTTGGGTTCAGATCACCACTTTTGTTTCATATTCTTTACTTTGGGCAAGGACACGCCTGTTATCTTACATTCTTAGACACCAGACTGAAAACATTGGGTCATCGAGGTCCTACACCCCAAAGGCCACGCGTATTCTGGCATGTCCTTAAGTCACCTGGGGCGAGATCTGAATTTAAGAGCTCGCTCTCGGTTATTGTAAATGACTCCGACAATTAAGCTCTCACTGGTTCTCCATGTCATTCTCCACTAAGGATTGCTTCTAATAAATCACAACCAATTACCCCTCACTAAACGTTCTCCCGTTACCTCTCTACTCCCTCAAACAGCCCCACGGATGCAGTTAACCTATTCCACAACTCTCTTTTAACAGGTCACTCCAAAACCATGAAGGGACAGGGTTTGGGAGTGGGATGGCAGGGTTAGGGTAACAGTTGGGCTCGATGATCTTAAAGGGCTTTTCCAACCTCAACGATTCTGTGATTCTATGATTCTAAGTCCTGGAAGTCCAACTCTCCCACCAGTCCCTCCCCGATCCCTGGTCCATTTTCTTCCAATGTTCAAATGGAGCTCCCAGTAGACAGACACCAACACGCTATTCAAGGGGCCCACCTCATTCCGCAGCAGTATTTCCAAGAGGGAGCATTCTTAAATGCTGTCATTTCCCTCAAAATACCGTGTCTGTATTTCGTCGCAAATGCATGTCTGCCTTCTCCCGTTACTCCCCAAACCTTCCCAGGTTCCTACTTTCCAATAGCTTATTCCTCCTGAGAGCATCAGCCTTGCACCTTGTTAAGCAGAATCTCTTCTATTTCTTGCCCACAACTCTGGATTTCTTAGAGCTTTCACTGAAAATTAACCTAACATCAGGATAGACTGTAAGTGGAAGTATCAGTTATTCTTGCGAGCACATTTAACAAAACAGAACCTAAAGCAATATTTACAGCATCCGATTTTTTTTTTTTTTTTTTTTTTTTTTAGGGTTGGAAGGGACCACTAGTGGTCATCTAGTCCAACCCCCCTGCAGTGAGCAGGGACACTGCTAACTAGATCAGGTTGCTCAGAGCCCCATCCAACCTGGCCTTGAATGTTCCCAGGGATGGGGCCTCCACCCCCTCTCTGGGCAACCTGTTCCAGTGTTTTACCACCCTCATTGTAAAAAATTTCTTCCTTACCTCTAGCCTGAACCTACCCTGTTCTAGTTTAAAACCATTTCCCCTTGTCCTAACACAGCTGGCCCTACTGAAAAGGCGTTCCCCATCTTTCCTATAGGCCCCCTTTAGGTACTGGAAGGCCGCAATTTGGAAACCTAACTCTCCATTGCCATTATTCCCCCTCCCTCAGGAGAACTCTGACTTCACAGAAGCAACCTTAAAAAAAAAAACAAAACAAAACAAAGAAAACCACCAACCCTGCACCCAATTTTTTTCCAACGAGATCTTGTGAAGTCGAATCACCTCCTAACATCCATCGGACTGCTGCTTTCCAGCGGAGGGCTTCTCTCGGCACGAATGCAGGCCACGTGCCCGTATGGCGGAGCATATCCACTTTCACTTGAATGTTTACCCCGGGGCATTAACGAAGCAAAGATCAAACACCAAAGTAATGAGCTCTGTCGGGTGACGGGCGTACGTGTGTTGCTCAGGCACATGCACAGGCAAAGGCAGGCATTTTTACCTACACAAGTGTCAGCACAGCAGTGACCACCTTTAGCGTACGCCCCACGGAGCGTAAACACCACCTCGTATTTGCTAAAATCCCATAGCGGAGAACTGCAAATTTCAGCTTGGAATTTTCTTTGACTTAGATAATATCACTGGCATAAAGACACTGTAAGAGGCCTTGCAGCATGTGACAACGGAGCATTGCCACTGCCCGTCACAAACGCAGGTATTACCCATCTGTATCTGTACACGTCCCTCCGCTGTTCTCAATCCATCCCCTTGGGTACTCAAAAGGAAGCTTTTCAGATTTTAAAGGAAAGAGGCTTTCAAGGTAAACGACAGTAGAACAGCTTTGTATTGACTAACATGCTTTTCTCATGCTAGACCAGCCCAAATTAGTACAGATTAGAATCTTAAAAAGATTTTTCTATTGCTCCTAAGCTGGAAGCGAACATTTAAAGCTTAACTCTGAATTTTCAGATGTTGGCTTCTGCTGCTGCAACTTCAGAAGAAATGTGGCTCTGCCCCTCCCATCTCGTGGCTTCCACCTCGGTGCACGAGAACAGCCCTTGAAATAAAACAAATGATCAGGCTAAGTGTTCCCAGAAGAAAAAAAAAAAAAAAAAAAAGCTTTCCTTATTCCTGCCTGGAGAACACAGTCTTCTAAAGAAAGCTGCAGCTCTGACCCGGCTCATGTAAAGCTTGCTAATTACAGTGAAAAATCTGAAGAAAGCAAGAGCAGGAGGGAGGGAGAGCTCGACTCCAGCTCTCTGGCTCACACAAATGACAGCTTGAGCAAACTTTTCCTGCCTCAGTGGTTGCTGCTATAAATAACGCCCTCCAGGGCTCAGTGCTGCAGGAACCCAAATCCCCGTCACCTCACCCAGACCCTCTGAAGTCCGCACCAGCTTTCCCAGCGGCCGCCTTCCGCCGTTATGCACACACCAACGTGCTTCTCCTCCACGCAGCTCCTCTCCCGTAGACGGCCCCGGACCTGCTAGTAACAGCACCTGCCCATGCTCATGGCAGTCCCGCTCCCGCACGCGCGCCGCCTTCTGAAAGCCTCGTCTCTTCACCCAATCCGTTCGATTTTATGCGTCTTTTTCTCTCCCCCGGCAACCCACTCCCCCATTATTCTGTCATTCTCTTACTCCTTTCTCAGTCTCCACATTTTCTGTGGCTTCCCTTGATTACGTTGCTTTGCAGCCCTCCATCTATTTCTTCAGATTTTTGTTGCTAAGATGCCCTGGAGTATCTTGAGAGAAGTAGAGCTCCTCCTTCCAGCTGCTGGCAGCTGTTCTCTAGCCCAAACGGCTTATCCGTTAGGAACCCAGAGGAGATCACCGAGGAAGAAGTGCAGCGTGCCCGCAAGAAGTAAAATCACCGACTGTTCAGTGCACGCAGCTCCAACTCCCACCTGGTTTAGGAAATGAAGTCCCAAATTCAGACCCAGTGGAAATCAAATCCGGGCAGTTCCCCTGCGACTTAGCAGCTCGCTTTCCCTCCAGCCACCTTCTCCAGCTTCAGTTAAAGATGCTGTAACCACAAGCATGCAGCGCTGCTGCAAGAGGCACAAGAAAGCAAAGAGCAGCACAGGTCCCGCACCTCTACATACCACCGATGGCTGGGACAAGCAGACCAAATGCTTCCTCCTCTTCCTAGAAATTCCTGCCCGTCCAGCGCTTCCCTAATGACACAGCAAGATGAAAGTGAAATGCTGGGCTGAGTCCTGCCAAGCTGAAGGAGCTAGACTCTTCCTGAATCTCAGATGTGGATGTGTGTGATAGCAGGCAGGAATCCTATTTTCATTTTGCTTATGTAAGCAAGGATGAATCAAGCCCAGGTTTCTCTGGTCTTGCGTCGTATTTAATCCTTATATATATATATATCTATATCTTTCCATAACCCAGAGCTGAAAAGCCCTTCTCTTCAGACAGAGCCTCCATTAGCTATGCTTCTGAACACCAGCACACACATCCCTCCTCCGCAACGCCCACGCACGGCACCTTCTGCACACACATACCGCACCGAATCTGCACGCGTAGCTCCTCTGCAAAACCCCCAGGCCCTCGGTGGCCGTGCCTTGCCTGCAGCCAGGCAGCACAGGCACCTCAACCCACCCCTCACCGCAAGCACCCCCCTTCCTGCTGCTCCCCGCGAGAGCCAGTGGATGAGAATTCAGTTTCTAGCTCAGGAATTATTTACTTACCTCAATTTTAGAAGATCTCCTACTTAAGTTCCATAGTCCTCTAGTTTTCCAGCTGTGAGTCCTGCAAAGACTCTTACAGTCTTACGTGTATTTACTCAAACTTTTTTCCTGTTCTGTCACAGAGCTTACAGAGGCGACTTCTGCCTATTTGTCTCTGTGGGTTCATCGCTACAGACCCTGGAGGTCAAGGAGCTAATTACCATCTCATCCTCTTCCCCTCAAATGTCTGACTAACTCAGTTCTACAGGTAGCACGGCCACATGTTCCTGCCTCCAGCCAGGGTACCACGCATCTCCTTCTCATAGCATGGCCAAGGTTTCACACTTATTTCCTAAATTAGCACTCCCCCATTTTCTTCAGGTGTCTCCTTGATACACTGACCATCTACACCCTTCCACTCTACCTTAGAGCTCTTCCAACATCCCAGTTGCAGGATACTTTCCAGCTGACGTCCCTTGGGCCGCTAACGGGACCATCACATGTTTACCACTCCCTTCATCACTCCGGCTCCAGAAGAAGGTTACATGAGGGGGCTGTAGGAAGCAGACAGTGGGGATTACTGTATATTCCTCCATACGAACGCATGCATGGCACAGCTTGTTGCTAATTGTAGAAGATCTCAACGTAAGCAAAGTGTTTCTAGCCTGGCCGAAGGGTTGCCTTGATGTTTTCATGCAGACACATGTATTTTTCTCCCTGTTGCCACCATCCTCCTTGATTCCATATGCTCCCCACTTTCTCTCGTTAGCAGCTGCTGGGGAAGTCGCTAAGCACGTGTCGGTGGGAGCTAGAAAAACCTGTCCCAGCATCGCGACCCTCTTGGCCGTCCAGCTCTGCAGGCAGAACGAGCTTAGCAAAGATGGACAAAAGCGAGGTGAAAGGAGGTGAGGCAGAAGCAGACACCCCACGTGATAAGAGGAGAGCTGCAGCAGTGGAAATACCCTGAAAAGGCATTCCTCGGCTTCAAGCAGCTGTACAGCCACGAACTGAAAAGCACAGATTGCAAGTGTCGGTTTTCTGTGGCCAACAACTGGTTATACTTTAAGAAAATCAGGAAGAATTCTTCCCCAAGCTGCTGGAGCACAGGAAGCCAGAACCAGCCACACACGGGAGCCCACCAACTCCAGGTGTTGCCGACTGCTAGGACTATGGTAGGAGGTACAAAAAAGCAGCAGGAGACTCTTCAGAACAGAAATCAAAACCACGGTTACTAAAATAGAGAGAGGAGAGTGATGAAAATAAGATGAAAGGGATCAGCAATCACAAAAGAGGGACTGGGAGAGGCGCTAGGTGTCTTCTCCCTGCCAAGGAGAAGCAGATAAAATTTAGGTACAGGCTCCATCTAAACGACATCAGTTTGGTGCCAGTGAATGGCAAAAGAAAAAGAAACAAGACTAGCCATCTTACCTGTGGGCAAGCAACACGTGAAGAGACCTGCCAGCCAAAACAGCCCAGCCACACAGCTCGCCTGGTACCCAGCTACGGACCCTCCGGGGGGAGGGGGAGAAAAAAAAGCGTCCTATTTTTCAAAGTTGTCTCAGTTGTGCTATTCTCTTTTCAAAAGAGGGTGGAGCAGCCTCATGTGCTCCTCAAACCATCACTGAAGGCCATGCCTGTCTGAATTGAACAAGAAAAATGTCATCTTGCCTGAAGAAAATCAGCAGGGTCATCCTCAGCGCGGTACCTGGCCTTGTTATCTGCTCCCAGGTACAAACACAAGAGCTGCGAGGATGAATGCTCGGGGACCTGGCTGCTGTACGTCCTGGACAAGAGCCAGGTGGTCCCAGTGCAAATCTCTCTCTCTCTCTCTCCTGAACTACCTTCGATTGGAAAATGAAGACATCAATAACTTAGCAGGGTTTGCAAAACAAAGCAAAGCAATTTCACTTTTCCATCAATGAGAAAGAAGAAAGAAGTTAACCCCAAATCTTGCCCAGAGAACTTACTAACAGAGGCAGGCTGGTACTCAGAACACGGCAAGGATCACCACTCCAACGGCTGTTTGGGAAAGGACGCATTTTTAAATTGATTTCTCTAAAGGAAGCCACCTTTTCTCTAGTCTAGCAGGTAAGTATTTCAAATGCTAAATGAGTCTTCACACTTGAACTTATAATCCTGCTGTGGTTAAACCCCAGCCAGCAACTGATCCCCCCCCGCCCCGCTTGCTCACTCCCCCCCCC